TATGATGTGGTTTTGTGAATGCTGACGAGATTTGCTGGTGCACTCGTCCATGTACACGTATGTACATATGTATGTATATAAGTATGGATATGTATGTGGGTCAATCCATATCAAATCAGGCAATAGTTGGAATGGACCACTTTTTGATTTGGATGAATTTTGGTCAGAACTTTTCTTTTATTATACTATTATAATGAATTTTTGCCAAAGAATAAAAACCTCATAAAATTAAATTTTTCAAAAGTTCAAAATTTCACGATTTCCCAAATTTTGCAAGTTTATTTTTGAATATCTCAAAAATTATTATGGTTGCAAGAATGATTCTAGCCTCATTTGAGAGGTCATACCTTAGGCTATACAAAAAAAAATCTAAAAAATAAAAAAATTTATAAAATCGTATAAGCAAAAACTTTTATAAATTTTTTCCTCAGTATTTTGTATACAATACCTTTTAAACCTGATCTTAAAAAATCTTAAAATTTTCAACTAAAAATATAAAAAATTTTATTTTTCGAAAATTCAAAATTTTACAATTTCCCGGATTTCGCCATTTATTTTTTGAATGTCTCAAAAAAATTTCAAGGAAAAAAAATTTTTTCGAAAATTCTAAATTTTACAATTGCTGGGATTTTGCGAGCTTTTCTTTTCTTTATTTTTTTCACTTCCGAATGAATTTCGGCAATAGTCAATTTTAATTAAAAGCGAATTGGGTTTAAATTCAATCGAAAGTGAATTGCGGAACCTGCCTGACAGTTACAGAATTGGTTCTGGAATCGTTTTAAATGTGATATTTTGGCTATATAAAAAATATATTTAAAAAATATTCGACCTGTAAAAGCAAAAACTTTTATAAATTTTGGGCTTTGTTATGATACCTCTAACTGAACTTAAAAGATCCTAAACATTTTCAAGACGGTGTTTTTTAATGATAATTATGTATTTTTGAACTTTAAAAAAATTAATTTATTCAAGCTATAACATATAAATAAATTGAAAACAAATAAAAAATATTTGAAATAATTTCTTTAAGAGTTGACAACTTTTTTCAAAATTTAGATATTCATAATTTTCAAAATCACATTGAACAGTTTAGTATCTTTTAAGATAACTTTGAGGCTTGTACAAAAAAAATGCCAAAAAATGTTTTTTTTTATGATTCTACGATTTTTTATTTAAAAATTCTGTAATTTTTTTATTTTTTGAGTTTTTTGTTTAGAGGTCTAAATATCAGCTTTAAAACCAAATTTTTGTAACTACATATAATATGCTTTGAGATATATATTCAAACACAAAAACTTACAAAGTCACGGAAATTATAAAATTTAGAATTCTGCATATCTTTCGAAAAAAAAATTCGATTTATTTCCTTTGGATTGACCCATGTACATACCTATATACTCGTATGTTGTACCTACTTACTATGTTTGTAAGTATTGATATTCGTACACTCGCACATGTCGCCGCTTTCGAGAAATTGTGTAAGAATTTCATAAGCGGAATTTTGCGGCAACCCACACAGAAGCATAAGCGGAAAATACAAAGGAAGAAGAAGAAGAGGTAGCCTACGAAATGTGATGAGAGCAGAGAAGATGAGATGAGAAGAGGATGTAGCTGCTGTGGCAAGGTATGCCATTTATTTTTTATTTATTTATTTTTTTTTTTTTTCGTACTCAAAGCGGAAGTGGCGAGTTTGTCTGTTGCTGGAAAACAGTTGAGGTTTTTCATTATTAATTTTGTGTGTACTTGGAGCTCATAATTTTGTTTTCGATTTGTTGTATTGTGTCGCGACGACTTGTTTTCTTCACTTTTCAATGCCAGTTGCAATGACATAATAATTTTGCATGAATGCTTTTTAACTGGAAAATGCGCAAACCAAACCGAAATAGGCTGTACATACATGCACTGACTGATTTTTCTTAATTAGCTTGAAGATTTCGTTTTTTTGCATTTTATTGTCAAAATTGGTTTTGTCGCCATCCACTCAGGCATGCAGTTGCATATACATACATACAGATTTACATATTTGCTTGTAAATACTTTCTACACAAATAAATACTTTTGACACTTTATTTTGAATGCACTAAACAGCCGAGGAACTTTTCACTATTCGCATTCATAGAAATATCTGCATATATACTTTTGTATGTACAATTATTTCTATCACCTTAAAGGCATTTAAACGCTTGATTTGTATGGTTTTATGGGACAACAGTGACGCTGCTGCTATAATCAGGTCTCATACGTCTGCAATGGCATGGTACTGGGGCGGGGTGCCGATACAGACTAGAAATCTTGCGCTAAAAATACCTTTTTTGTCGTAGATTTCTAGCGTCGCCTAGCGTCGCCTATTACGTATGTACATATGTATGTATGTATGTATATATTTGCGTTTTTGTGCATATTTTGTACTATGGCAAGTATTTTGTTTTTATCATATTTTCCTGATTTTTACGAAGTTTGATTAAAATAGCCGCCGCTCACACGGTAATAACAATAAAAGTCATAATAAAAGATTCTATAGTGTTTATTTCTATTCAAAAATGTGCAAATAAACATATGTATGCACATTAGACTGCCTCACGGGCCATACCAAAAACAAAAAAACAAAAACTTGGCTGTCTTTTCCGAACTGTAATATAAAATTTGCTCAATTTCCTAACCCTATTCGACTCAGGTGAGCTGAATGACAAAAAAACCTGCGAATCGCATTTTTGATGAAACGAATTTTATTGTTTCTCAGATAATGGCTCAAAAAGACATGTGTACACATGTTATTTTAAAATTTGAAAGGATAAAATAACTAGTCTAAATCTAACCATCAAAAAGGAGACCATGTTGAGGAATTAGACCTTTATTTGCTGAAAAAAAAAATTCGAAAAGGCACTTTATGTATATATAATGCAAAAAAGTCCTAATATTAGGTTTCCTTGGCGAAGCAGCTACTGTTTTCGTGAAGCATTCTAATGTATCGCTTTTTACAAGGAATGTTATGTACATTCAGTAGATATTAACGCTGATCAGCAGACAGTGGCAAAATATAATTTTAGTTAGTTTCGGTTTCTGAAAAGCACATAAACTGGGGATACGTCCGACGATCCTAATAGAATTTCGATGCCATTATTTAGTTCATCATTAAGTTTCTCAAAAATAAAGGTGGAAGATTTGCACATACATACATAAGTAAACAAAATTATAATGCAAAAACGCTTCTGCGAGACACATAAAATTATAAACAGAATCAAATCGCTGAGCGAACTTCGTCGGAAGAGAGTTCGCTATCAAAATTAAAACACACTGCAGTATATAACGACGAAATTCGGCAAGATAAGATTTATTTTTAATTTCGCCGCTGCCTCCGGTCGCAAAAGCAGTTGTCAGTGAGAAAATAGCTTTGTTTCTTCACTTTTCTGGCAGATAATTATCAGGAAGAAGCAGAATTGCAAAATCTGGGGATTCATCTTTTCGCTTTTATATTCTATATTTTTTTGATTTGTTATTCAACTGATGCGAATTTCGTTTTGGTTCTGTTGTACTGTTACGGCGAATGTCATCGTACGCCACCGATCCGTTCGGCGAAATTTGCTCAGCGTTTTGGTTCTGTTTATACTTTAAAAACAATATTTTCTAAAGCATTCAAAATTTTTTCGCATGGGAGATATGGTCCAAGTCCCAACCCTCTAGACGGTTAACCCCTTGATTTTGCTAAGAATGAATTCCGTCAGGATTCTATATAGTTCCCCAACGAAGTACTTGCCTAGCTCTTACTCTCAACTTAATAAATCTAGCAAGAGCCTGGCAGTTACAAAGAAAATCTGATACAAATTCCTCCTCTACCATACGACAGCTTTGTCGAAAATTATTCCATTTAAGAAGTGACCCGAAAGGACTGAGTAGACAGTGTGTGCGTAGAGAACTCAATGTCGGTAATAGTTGACTAGTTGAACGCCACCGAGTCACCGAAGAATATCAGTGGTATTAGTCTTGTTATAGTACTATTAGGCAGAGTAGTGCCATGAAGAACGAGCAATGGCCTCACAATAAGCGTACGAAATGTATCAGCCATATCGATTACTACTTTAAAAGTAGGCGATGTGTGAAAATGTATGTATGTAGATTTTATTATAAGAAATCGTATGACACACGGTACCAGTGATGTGAACGTGAAAATAGCCATCAGCTCAGCCAGAAAGATGCTACAGTGATCAGACAGGCGAAAACAAACTGATTTACCTAAACAATCCGAATAACAAACAACACATTCGACCCTTCTATTATTTGTAGCTTCATCTGCGTATATCAACGGCTGAATGGAAGATGAACCTATCTCGGCAGCCGGTTCGAAGAACACTCTTGCTCTAAATGATAAAACTTTATCATCAAACTGAGAGTTTGTTAGTGCAAAAGGGGTAACTAAAATCAAGAATTCTGAGCCCGCTAGGTTTTAGGTTTTCTGAAATCGACCCAACCCTTCAAAGCAGTGATGAGCAGAGACACCTTTTAACCTGACGTGCAATTGTTGTAAAGAGAGGTTAAAATGTTCTGTACGAGGGCAAGGCGGTGCTTATCATCGCCATAAGGTCAACATATCTCAAGCCATTTCGAAAGACAAGCTCGATCTATGGAACACTCGGATCCGTCCTCCGTGAGAAATCGCGGCCGATAATAAAACGATCTTATACACCAAACGTAATGACATGTATGGGCCTCTTAAACAAGGCATTTCATTTATACCTTATACTCAGCGGGTTTTATTGCATTTAGAAATCGCATTTACAAAAATTTTCTAAAAGCTTAAACAGACGGCAGCGTTGATCCGGATTAACTCGGACTTAGTCCGGATCAACTGCTGTTAATTCCCGAGTTGACAAAAAACTTAAGCTTCTTGGCTGCATTCCAATTTGCAGTATACTTCACTGAAGCAACTAGCATCTATCAAACTCAATTGCTTCACTCACTCACAACTCTCCAAGCGAAGGGAAAATAATCACTCATGTACTTACTCATTACTGGCAAATGCTGCTGTGGCTGGGCTCGACTCAAGTGTTACTCCGTTGCGACTTCGTTTTGACTTCGGCGTTTTCTATTGCGATTTCAATTGCAATTTCTACTGCTTCTCCTTTTCCTATCTTCTTTTACTGTAGCTAAGATGGCAAGTTTTGTGTTGAGATTTTTTTTTTGGCGTTTTTTGTTATTCGTGATTTAAATATATTTTTTTATTTAAACTTAGATATATATTTTTTTTTAATATTCCCACCACTGGTTGTCCACTTACGTCGATTTTTTCCAGCCTACAACTTTCGGCTCTTTTGGTATCCTAATAGCTTTCTTCTTTCAGTTACCTACTCCTTTTTTTCTATTTCTGCTGCTCACTACTCATTTTCCGCTACCACTTTACCGTTATATTCTACAAACTTCATCTTCGTTTTACTTTTACTGACTTTCTACTTTATCTTCAATTTATTCTCTTACTATTCTTCTTCTTTCCGCACGGCTTTCACTCCTATTTTATACTACTTGCTGTCGACTCTTTTCTCGTTTTCTATCTTCTTTTTTTATCGGCGCATTGCCTGCTTTCACACGTTTGTCGCTTCCACTTCCTGCTCAGCTCTAACGATTCTCGCTTACTTCCTGTGTCGTTTTTTCTGTCACTTTTCGCACATTATCGGTTTGCATGAAAGGTTACTTCACTTTTTACACTCACTCACTCTTCCGCTCCGCAATTTTGCATTAAGGATTCTACAATCGCAAATTTTCGCACCCTTTTCAGCTGCTTTTTCACCACAAAGCAGATAAATTTTAATGCAAATTTTTATAAAAACACATGCACGCATAAATATGTATGTATGTATATACATATAACTCGGTAACACACTTTTTCAGCGCATCACGGAAATTCCTATAAAAAATTATTTCCACACCTTTTTTTCATCTATCGCTTCACCACCGCACCACGAAATCAGATTTTGTCAAACAACAGTTTTTTTTTGCCACCGCACTGCAGTAGAATTGCACAATTGTTGTTTTTTTTTTTAGTTTATTTAAAACTTGTTTCTAGCTGATTATTCACAGGCACAGCGCAGATCGACCGTTCGATATAGAAGTATAGTTTTTTTTTTTGTTTTTTTTTCTTCAGCTCGCTGCTCGCTTGCGCCGTGAAAATCTGCTGCTGCTCCGTTTGTGCCGAGTACACGCCAATACTGAATCGTAAAGGGTGACAGCCGACACTTGCTAACCTATAATTTTCACTCTTCAAATATTCTTGCGACCACACACACAGGCACACGTCATTACAAAAAAGCACTACCGCACTGCGCTAGGCAATCGTCATATGTCATATATGAATATATGTAGACCCAGCAGCGCCACCGCCTGCCTGCCCCATTAATTTATCTAGAATCTAGATACTCGTAGCATACATTTGTAAGCAAGGAAGATAGCCGAAATTTGCTCACTCAACATAAGTCACTCACACTTTCGTTCAAGCTCTCTTTCTCTCTCGCTCTCTCACGGGCTCTCCAGTGACAGTCGTCTGTCAGCCGACTTTTGCCACTTCTCCACCCCCTATAGCAGTCACCAGATACCCTTACTTTTCATTTTACCCCTAAACCCCAGCCGCGACCTAAGGGCGTGCTCAGCTTGGTTGCTCATTGAGCATTTGATTTGCTTGCAACACTTTTGTTCCACAAGCATAAATTTAAATATATGCCTATGTCAGACTTGGTGGTCGCATGTGGCACTTGTTTTGTTGTTACGGTGGCATGCATTAACCGCCCTAATGCTTTCACCATAATTACGTACCGACCCTATCGCGCCTCATGGTTGCATTGACTCAGCAAGCGTAATAGCTGCGTGCGTGCGTGCGTGCGATTTGTATTTGTCAACTGTCATTACGCTTCTTGGTGTGTGCGGGAAATTTGCAAACCAGCGAGCGATCGCGTGCAAATTCGGTGACATCGCTGTCAGCTATAGACTATTTCAATGTAGCAATTAGAGATGGTGGAAGACGACAATTGGGATGAGTCGGTAGGTCATCGTTGTCATCGTCGTCTCTATGCAGCGCATGCGTTGTGCGAAAAGAGCAGCGCTACTACCCGGCGTGGCAGCTTACAAAATGCCACATGATGTATGCTCGACCAGTGAGTGCGTGATTTTTCAATGAGTTCGGGGCCTTTTCTCATTCCACCTTGCGGAGGTGGTGCCGCGGTACATCACCTGCTGCAAAGCGTACAATTTCGAGCGCTATGCTTAGAAGCTACCCTTGTATTCAATTGTTCGTTCATTCGCCAGAAATTTCTCGCTCTCACGCACACGAAATCGGCTACATATTAACATATAATAATGTATGTATAGAAATGTGGTTTGTCATCCGCCATGGTTGTCAGCCGCTTTCACACCTAAAATGAGCTGCCAGAGTTTTAAAATCATTTAGAAATAAACTTTATGTGAGACAAATTAGCGGATATGTACTGCGGCTTCGTCACGGGTTTCCGCTGGTGGTAGTAGAGGACGAGAGGAGCCCTCTTTTTGCGATAGAACGGCGAAGTGGAGAAATACTTGGCTTCATCTAGAATTTCCAATTGGGATGAGGTAGGACAGGATAGAAACGACAGCGGTGGTTCATTGAAGTGGGCTAAAATCGTTTAGGCAGATATCTGTACAAAAAATTTTTCTTACTTACATATATATCTGCTGTATAGGTTACGGAACTTAGAAAAAATATCAGTTTGGACGTAAAGGTCAGGTCTCAGTTTAAGCCTTAATTTTGGCAGTAGCTAAGACGAATCACAATCCGGCACCAGTCATGGATAGAACACGCCATATTCTATTTCCATGATTCGACCCGTTTGAGAAAGCTGACCAAGAACTGACCTCTTAATCGGGAATGTTACCCGACGCCGAGCGAATTGAACGGTTTGCTACCGGAAGGCTATATTCAAACGGCGCCTTTTCGACAACGGGCCGCATGGACGAGATTCGGGAGTAGAGATTTTCTTCACCAGACTAGGCGATGCCAAAGGGTCTGTTCACTTGAAGATCGGTCGGATGGACGTTGGACTCATTCGATCCTTACAAATCCTCTAGGGTAGATGGCATAGTTCCAATGTTACTCATGCTTGGTGGCGGACTCATACTGCTACACCCAGTAAGCATTATGAGAGACAGTCTATCTCTATCTTACACTCCCAAAGAGTAGAGTAGAGAGCGCGTAGTTTTCATAACGAAAGTTGGAAAGTAGTAAAATATTTCAGACCCATAAGTCTAACCTTGTTCTTGTTAAAAAACAATATAGAAAGTTAGTCATAATTAAATATGAACTAACACTCTGAAGCCGACATCCCAACCAGCCAGGGTGGGAAGATCCACAGGCACTTCTCTGTGTGACTACGGAGGTAGAGGGTGCCTTTAGCAAACTGCTTGAAACAAGCCCTCTCGGGCAATGGCATACGTTGCCAGGGGTATGCGAATGACTTAGTAATAATGGCCAATGAGGTTTAAACTTAACGAAGAGTTGGTGTGCCAATATGGGACTCAATATCTATCCCTCTAAGATGGGCATCGTACCCTTCAATAGGAAAAGGAACCTACCAGTTATGAGGAACATAATCCCGAATGTGGTCTTGGCTAAGGTTTACGCCGAGGCTGTCAGCGCCAGTTTCACCATTTTCAAGTTTAGACCAATCTTTCTATCAGACCTTCCCATTAGGCTCCCTGCATTCTAGAGAGCTCGATCTGCAATGTGTACTTCAAAATTTTCTAGTTCCATAGTTATTCGAAATTACTAGATCACTAATTTCATTAACTCAAGGTGGAATTCCCCTACATTTTGCTCAAAGTGATCGAACGGAAGTAGTCTTAACTAGAATACTTTGCTTCGGACGACGTTAATTAGCTTAAGTAACTATTACTTCCGTACAGCTTAGAGAATTGTTGCTAAATAATAAAGTGAAGATGCTGTGAGGTGAACTTCAGTAAATCTCCGTTAAAGCGCTGGTAAGCAATAACTGAATCCGGTTTAATCACAGCACTCAAATAAAATGCATAGCTACGTATATTACAGTGCGCTGTTACCTTGAAAAGCTCGACTCTGTACCCTCGCCTTAAACTACTACGAATTTCTAGTAGTATGCTATTGATTTAACAGTAGTACACCAACAGTAGCTTTGTTCCACAACTCTTCTGAAAAAAATGGTAAAACTGCTAACAAGCAAAATGGCGCTCAGAAGAAGAGAGTAACACCAAAAAGTACGGAAAGGTTTTTGGGGAAAAACTGGCAATTCTGTCAAATGTGTATAACGTAAGTGTAAAAGTGTGTTTAAATAGTTGATTATTATTATTTGGTGGTTTGCGAATTTATACGTAAATTCAATGCCAATTTTCGGAATGCGAATGTGCGAATGCGAATGCGAATGCGAATGTGAGGAATAACATTAAAAAAGCTATAATCAACTTAAGCCATCGTTTTAATTACTTAACATTTTTTTAAATTATTATAACATTGAATGAGTGCTTAACCTATACAGTGTTTAATCAAGTAGCCAAAGATCAAAAGGAGCATATTACATTAAGACAAGTAAGAAAGTCTAAGTTCGGGTGGAGCCGAACATTAAAACCCGGCGCAAGTATCAAATATATGTTTTTTCACCTTTTCTACCGCTAGGTGGTAAGCCGGGGTGTATCAATTTTGAGTAAATTAGCGTCCTTAAATTTCGAAATATTGCATTTCTGAAATTTACCGTTATATGAAAAGCGGCCGTAATTTTAGTCCGATTTCAATAATTTTCAACATTTTGCTTTTTTGTGGCAAGCACAATAGCCATGCCGAGTTTGGTACAAATTGGTAGAACGGTTACCGATATACATATATGTGATCATAAGTGGGCGGTGCCACGCCCATTTTCGAAAATTTTACCATAAACGTATTTCTTGGTAAAGAATTGTTGCAAGCATCAATTTTGAATAAATTAGCTTCAATATTTACTGATTTATCGAAGATTTCGTATTTCTCCAAATTACCGTTATATGGGTTGTGGGCGTGGTTATTGTCCGATTTTTTAATTTTCGGCCATTTAGTATGCTGTACCAAGGCCAACAACTGTGTTTGGAAGAAATTGGTGCAGCGGTTACCATTTTCCAAAAATGTATAATATTCTTAGTTTTCGTCTAAAAGTTGTTGTAAATATCAACTTTGAGTGAATAATCTTCAGTAGTTACTAAAATATCGCAGTTTTCGTATTTCCGAAAATTACCGTTATATGGAATGTGGGCGTGGTTATTGTCCGATTTAAAAAAATTTCGGCCATTTAGTATGCTGTATCAAGACCAACAACTGTGCCAAGTTTGGAAGAAATTGGTGCAGCGGTTACCAAAATATACACATGCAACCATAAGTGGGCGTGGCTACGCCCATTTTGCAAAAATTTATAATATTCTTATTTTTCGTCTAAAAATTATTGCAAATATCAATTTTGAGTGAATTATCTTCAGTAGTTAGTAAAATATCGCAGTTTTCGTATTTCTGGAAATTACCGTAATATGGGAAGTGGGCGTGGTTACAGCCCGATTTCGCCCATTTTCAATACCAACCTACCTTGGATTAACAGAAACCTACATACCAAATTTCGTTGAGATATCTCAAGTTTTGCTCGAGTTATCGTGTACACGGACAGACGGACAGACAGACAGACGGACAGACGGACCGACTTCTCTATTCATTCTGAGCATTTATGTATAAATTTGTCTATATCTGTCTCGATTCGTTTTGGCTGTTACAAACAACCGTTATGTGAACAAAATTAATATACCCTTGTGCACAAGTGCGCTCGGGTATAAAAAGTAATTTCGCTGCCTTTTCCCCATAAGGCGATTTGTTAGAGACTCGTATATAAGGCCGGCTGCGCTGAACAATTGCTCACTTGGAACGCTGGCGGGTAGAGCGCTGAAATATTTGCGGGCCAGTAGCTCGTTTCTGTAACTCTTCTCTACCGATTAATTCTCTACTGGCAGAGAATATACGTCATTCTCTACTACTAATTAGCAGTAGAGAACAGGGCGGCGAATTCAAATCTCACTTCGCCTTGGTAGAGAATTGTTACAGAAACGATCAACAGATCTGTCAAGTTGTCGTATTTTAGTTTAATTTTCCACCAAACGAGAGGATTTTCACCGAGATAAGCTCGTTTTTCTTTAAAATAGCCCTTCAATTAATCCTTAATTTCACATTTTTTAATGTCTCCAAATTCTACATCCGAGCCTTCGCTTTCGCTGGAG